CAGAGCTGGGAGTGTCTGCCCAAACGTGTGGAGAACCTCGAGGGTTGCTGGCTGTTCTAAGCAGTGGGGAACTTACTAGAGAGTCCAGAGTGTGGAGAACTAATCTCTGTAAATGTGAGGCGAAGGAATGTGGACTGAGGTGGAGCAGAGAGGACACTTGATGAAAGACTGCAGGTTTGGTGATCAGGGGCAGATGTGGACGAGATGATGTGTTTTAGTTTATTCTAATGTGCATTTTAACTTAACAATCTGTAATGAAGTAATCTCAATCTTGGTATCAATCCTGAAACAATGCACTGGATAAGCAGATGAAGTAGAAGACAATGGACGGATCGATACACGCATGTACACAGAGATCGATGCGGCAGACACAAAGAGAAAACACGGAAGTGACATACTGACATCCACATACAGCAGGAACATAAAAACTGCACGTGCACACATAAACAAGTGCACATGTGAACTTGTACACATTGTTTTCAGCACAATGCCTGTTCAGTTGTTACATGTATTTTGTGACCTACTTCCTACAAGTGGATAAACATTACTGCATTCCCAGGCATGTCATTTGTGTGTGTGCGTTCATGATTCTTCCACATTGTACAAAGGTTCTCAAAAACAAGAAGTCTGAGCAAGGAAGTGAAAAAGCAGCACAGTCAGATTCAGATTCATTCAGACTGTGATACATGCTAGCCTCGGCTTTATGTTGATTCTGAAAAAAAAAGAAGGGGAAAAAAGGAAAGTGTTCAAATGAAGCAGGTTAGAAAGGAAATAAGTAATCAGTGTTGGGGAGTAACGGAATACATGTACCGCCGTTACGTATTTAAAATACAAAATGTGAGTAACTGTGTTGCGTTACAGTTACCGTTTAAAAGGGTGGTATTCAGAATACAGTTACTTTGTTGAAATGAATGGATTACATGGCCGTATTTTCCTGTTTCATATGTTAGGCTATGCCCTCTCTATTTTTGGTTTCCCCACCGGTGGAAACCTAAACAAGACACGCATTAAGAGGCTCTAATGCCTGTGTCTCAATCTCGCGGCCCATGTCACCTCTACTTGCGGCCCGCATAATGACGTGAAGAAACATTTTTAAAAAATATTCACAAAATGATTTAATATGAAGGCAATAGGCAGGTTGTTACAGGCATAGCCCTAGAGAATGTAGCCTCATGGGCAGGGAGAATGGACTGCCATACCCGTTATGTGTCTGTGAGCGAAGGAGGGAGAAAAAGAGTCGAAAAGTACGAAATGTCACCGAGAAGAAACGGGAGATGGAAGATGGTCAATATAATATAACCACTGCAGCCAAAAAGAGTGCCTGACGAGCCCAGTTGTAAGTAAACTATTAAGAGTCGACTGTACACTGTGTTTGTCTTTACCTCCGAAACAATAAGTCCCGTTGGAGCAGCCTTTCAACGCCTCTCTCTGTCTCTCGCTGGCATAGTCGACCCAGACAACAAAGTAAAGCTAGTTTTCGGCTACAAGCCCGACATGAACCCGACGTATTAGCCAGAGGTCCCTTTACTACGGTTCGGAGGTGTTTATTTAGTTTCCTATACAAGATCGCTGCAAAAAGTGCAGCCTTACCTAATGTCCACCCTACTGTTATTCATTTTATATTAAGAATTAAAAATCTAGTTGGTATTTGTATGGCAAGTAACCTTCAGTAATAATAATAATTATTACTGAATAATAATAACACAGCAATAGTACATTCATGTAGTTGTAAAAAGCAGGATAGAATATTAAGTAATCCAAAGTATTCAGAATACGTTACTCTCATCAAGTAACGTAACAGAATACGTTACAAAATACATTTTGGGACATGTATTCTGTAATCTGTAGTGGATTACATTTTAAAAGTAACCTTCCCAACACTGTAAGTAATGAAGTGCCAAACACTGCAACTTGGAGAAATGGGAAATGGGCACTTGGAGTTTATTCCAAATGTGAGTCAGTCCCCAAAGATCACAATATTTCAATCCCTTATGTTGCACGCATTTAAATATATACTGTACACATGAAAGTATCAAAGTTGAAAAATTGACACTCCACAAACCTATCAGTGACTGAATTGTTATAGTCATCTTTTATATATAGTATATGATTAAAGTTCAGTTAATTTGCTCAAAAAGGGGAAGAGATTGCATAAAAACTTGCTTTGCAACAATGAATATATCAGAATAAACATAAGCAAAGGGAAACATTTCTTTTCAGCCAAGCAGAATATTTACTGTACTGTTATTATAATTTTAATTTACTGATGCAATGTTTAAATGTTTTCTAGGCAAAATGACAAAAAAAAAAGTATCTGTGCAGGGACAAGTGGAGAAAAATGATGCGCACATGGTGATCGAGAGAATGGAAAGACAGAGAGGTGAAAATGAAACCTGGATTTTATCTGGTAATTGCATGATGTTAAATTGTGTAATTCTTAGCAGTGATGTGAACTCGGAATGTTACATAGACTAGAGTCTCTATTAACAGCATGAAGCAGGATAACAGCGGTCTCATGAATGAGTTCAGTGTGTTTGGAGTAGACCCACATTATACTCGCAGCTACCGTTTTTAAGTGGAAGTAGTGGGCTGCCCCTGCTTCTTTAAGTTCATGCTGTAACCGCATTAATTTGTGAAGATCTGCTCATTACAGACTTTATAGTGGTTTCCAATTTAAAATGTTTGCCAAACAGTGAATATGCAACAAACTAATTTTAATATACCTGCACGTCTTTGATGAAAAACATATGATATGTAAGAATTTGTTTCCATTAATAAAAGGTTTTATATCACATGTGAAAACATGCAGAAGTTTATCAAACACTCTCTTAAGACAGCTTCCTATCTCTCTTTGATCTCTGTCAATCTCAGATACAGGGAGCACACAAAACAGATTTTTTCATATACAAACACAAATACACAATTATGATGCAGAGCCAGTGTTATTTTTGGGTTGTTGTTCCTCAAGGTCTAGGTGAAGGGGGGGCTTCCTATTGGTTCTCAGGAAGAAGGCGTCAGCACAAGAAAACAATCAGAGGATGTCCAGTGACAGATCCACTGATAACACTTCTCTGTTTCGTATTCCCTGACACACACATACATTATCCCAATGAATATCATTATCACCTCATGAAATGTGGACTGCTAATAATGAGTCACAAGCCTGATCCTGTTTTTAACCATGAACACTGGGGCATCTTGCAACGTCTGCATTTCTATATGCATTTGGTATGTAGCCGTCTTTGTTGTTGTTGCCATAAATATGAGCATGCTTGGTCTTGATCTTGGACTTGACAGCGACTGACAAAACAAAGCACTCTGATGTTTGTCCATCAGTCAGCACACATGTTGAGTAATGGGAGCACAGAAACATCTCTGTTGCTACTGTAAATCACAGGTTTCAACCAACAAGTAGGATGTTAAAGTCAATGTTAAAGAGTTCTGCATGAACAAACATGCTTCCTATCATTCAAAAATCAATTTTAATGACCAGCTTCAAAATGTAAAGATCCCATATTGGTTACCTTGGCAGCAAGCAAAGAAAAAAAACCTAATAAACTGGAAAGGCAGAAACTGTTTCTTAATATCTCTGTGATAAGGTCCAAAAAAATCTGCATAGGAAGACTAATGGCAACAAAAAAACAATAGATACTGGAGCTCATTTCTTTCTTTCTGTGCCATATAATCAAGGATATTAGACAGAGATAAAAGAACCTGCACGTATTCTAACAACAGAACGATGAACTCTTCAGCCAGAACAGTTCATCTAAACGAAACTATAAAGCTTTTTTCTTGGTGTGTGCATTCATTTTTCAATTAGGGAACTCCTATTAGCTGAAAATGATGTACTGGATTTATCTTGTACACTTGTACATTTTCATTGCTATTAGGATTACGACAATAATGGTCATTTACATATTAAAGTTTAAGTTTTACTTGTTGTTCTCACTCTTTGTTGGATTTTAACACCTCTGTTCACTTTTTGTTTGTGTCTTGTATTAATCATCACTTTTTATATATTTTGCATGATAATTTGAATTAAAAATCCTCAATCGAAGTTCATTTGGTGCTGCTTTAATCAATGTCAAATTGTTTCATCAGAAAAGTAAAATTTTCTTTAGATACATCTTTTTGCGTGTTAAAACTGTGAACACTACTGCACACTGTCATGTTTGAATAGGTTAGAACGCCCCATTCATTAGAGACATAGAGGATTCTACACAGTCTGGTGAAAATATGAAACCCAACAATTCACATAGAACCATTTTTAGGAGCATAACCTGCAGCATGATCAAATAACTTCAGCAAAGTATCGATTCTTCTAGTAGAACTTTAATTTGTACAAAGTTTATTAAGAAATTGCAGCAAAGCTTACGCACTCCAAACAGCCATATTTTCAGAACAGTTCTCTTTTTTTGTACAAACTTACTAAAGATTATAAATGAAATTAATTACCAACATGCTAGTATGCTAACATTAGCTGTTCTATAGGAAGGTTCCTAAAACCGCTGACGGCAACAAACAAGCTTCATTTCCAACTTCTTTCAATGTGATCTGAAGCTTTTGTTGCTTACATCTGTTTACAGGTTTCATCATCATCTAGAATTGAATAAACAGGCTATAACAGCAGGATTGATATGAGCAACTACAACATGAGTCAGCAACAATAACAGTGTAAAATTATTTTTTGTTATTAATAAAGACATTAAGATTTTATTGACTAGGACCAAACAGCAACTGAATTTCTGTGTTTTCTGCTGCTTCTGCGCAGTTGTCTCATACACACAGAGTCATACTTTATAAGCTGCAGTTAAAACATATTTTACATTGTTGTTTGTCAAAGTAATTTTGCTTCTTTCAAGCCAAATTATTAGTGCTATAGTGCCCAAATTTCTAATCACTTCCAAAGCTGTATTGAACCAAAATTGTATAGTAGTGTAAAGGTAACATTTTAAAAGGGTTGAGAGAAGAATGTAATGGTGCATAGAGGATTTACATACTTCCTAGTATGGCTGATTCAGTCTCCTGACACACCTCCAGGAAGCTGTAGTAAGATTCCATCTCAGCAATGGAGATCCGTACAGTGGAATAAGATCCATAAACGTCCATATTTACCACAACTTGTAAAACAAGATCCAAAGGTCTGATGTAACAGCCTTCCTCAAGATTCTGTTTGTAGTCAGAATAAACTGAATCTTACATGGTTGTACTGCATGCATATTCTTTTCTATGGTATCTACCTGTCCTGCCTCCCCACTGACTCTGTCAGAGAAGCGGGGGGTGATCCATGTTTGTCTAATGCTTCTCCTGTCTGTTACACACACAAATGCACACTTTTTGTTTTCTATGCCGCTGTGCTGCTGGACCTGTTTGTTGCATGTCCCTGTACAGCCCACAAGATACCTGTGACCTCTCTACTTCTGTCTATGTCTGTTTCTGGCTCTCTGTCATAATCTCTGCTACAGGGTAAAGCCTATTACAGGTCATTTGCATACACCCACACCTGTTACAATCACAGACCTGCTGTGAAGGAGGGAGTTTACACTCTATGTAGACTCTATTAGAGGTTCTTTTCTACCCTGTACACTTCTCTCCTAATTTTGAGAGATTTTGTGTAATTTTGTGAAATAATTAACAACAAAAATACAAATAAAAAAGGATACTGTGGAGAAATACAGTATTGTTTCCAGTGAGCCAGTATGCAAAACATCAACATCCTGGCTGCTTACCCACATGACATGTAGGTGTAATATTTTCGGTCACACCTGTGCTCTTGCTCTAATGTGACAATACTGCAAACCTTTTAAACACAATCACCAACCTATGATAAAGTCAAGAGAATCATTTTGAGACATTGTCAAGAATAGTCTTTTTTTACATGCAACACACAGCTGGGGATTATCTGCACATGTATTCTCTACTGGAAATATGCTGCTTGGTATAGGCAAGGGATGGCACCAGGAAGAGTGTAGACATTCTCTAGCTCAGAATGACCTGATCTATTCTTGCGTCGGCTCCGTCTGACATTATACAGACTTTTAGTAAAAACCATGTAATGCCTGAAAGGACTTATTCTGACACTTAGATCACTGCCTTGAAATGTCTAAAATAGTTCTGAACTGAAATGCATGTGAGAAAACAGCTTATTTATATGGTGAAAAAAGCTCTACCCACTGAAGTCTTATTTTAAGCTATCGTAGAAGTGGATTTCAGCAGTGAACTCTTTTCAGATACACACTGTACTTAATCTTTTATAGTTTTTACCCAGATAAAAATCAGCTCATGTAACTTTTCAAGGCACTAAATAAAATAAAAGAAGTTTTTTTGGAGGTGGCTAAAATCCCATAAGCATCTCATTTAAAGGTTTGCTGTATGGTGCTTTATTTCTGGCAAGTGAATTACCTGAAATTAGTTTGTGAGTACAGAATCAAAGAAAAACAGACCTTTTTTAAATGTTGGCATTTTTGTTTGTTTGTTTGTTTGTTTGTTTGTTTGTTTGTTTGTTTGTTGGTTTGTTTTGTTTGAGAATTCATAATAATGAGAGACATTCAAAATACCTTATCTCACTTCATTACCAAATGAAATGATTGAAATGAAATCATTTCTCAGCTCAGTTTTTCAGATTTTTCACATGCAAATAAACAGATTTAACCAGCTGGAGCATCATCTAGTGGTGATGCAATCAAATATGCAAATTGTAAAATAAGATTGTTTTATCTCACACATACAGCTCGACGCTGCTCCCGATCTATCTCTAAAATAATTTCTCTGTCTCCTCAGATGTGATCCCAACTCTGCCAACAAGCAATCAAACTGCCTGACTAACATCCTGCAAATGCATGAAAGCAGCTGTGATTCAACTTCAACTCTTGGATTAAACCATTAGATTCTCCCTGCTGTTGCCTTCTGTTGAGAACTGGATGAACCCAGAATCCCTGTTTCTTCCTTTTCTTGTGTAGAAACACCAGGACCAGCACATCATTGCTGGATGTGAACTGCATTTCTTTTTTTTGTAGTGTGTTTTTGAGGACAAATTCTTTTGCAAAACCGCAATGCTTTTGATGCATATTTAGATTACATGACAAATTTGCATCTCAAATAATTTGAATTTCATCTTGTATTTTAAGGTCCAATGGTCAAATTTAAATTACAGATGACAGAGCCTGTCACACCTGCCTGTGAGGATTTTAGCTTTCACTAAGGTTACCCTTTCCTCTGACTGTCATAACTGGTCTCTGCTGTCCTTTGTCAGTCAGCTGTATCTGGAACGCTTTCTTTTCAGTCTAAAAACTGAAGTTCTACAGGACCTTAACCTTAATACCTTTTTCATGCGCAGTTATGAGTCGAGTATCTCTGTTGGCCTTTTTGAAAAATTGATGTTGGTTCTCTTGATGTCAGCCAGCTCCTTTAATTCCCCTGGAGAGGCTTGCTGTTCCCTTTATTCTCTTCTTTACTGCCCAAGATGCACACTTTATGTTCGTTCTGTGGGTATCTGCCTGTGATATCCATGCATGCTTCCCTTTTCATCCTTAATAGTTGATCTAGCCCTTCTTTGTGGATGCTTTAGGTACTGGACTTCAGGAGGAATCTTCTGCTAGCAAATTCTTAAGCTTATAACAGGACTGTTGATTGAGCGAGAATCACAGAAGCACCAGTGACCTCAGATAATCCTTGTTCTGTTCACTGAGATATTTGAATGCTAATCAATAAAATCAAATCAAATCAAATCAAATCAAAACATATTTTTCAGCTAATTTTTCAAATAGAGCTTCTGCACCTTCTGTTATAGTTAAATTGACTCTTTCAATAACTCCTCACCACTGCATAAGCTATTATTATTCAGGTGCCCATTTAAGTTATTTTGCCCTCTTCCATCTCTATGCAGTCTCACAATCAGTGTTTTACATTAGTTTATCATATGTTATTATTATCATGTCACAATAAGCAAAAACTGAGAAATCTGCACTTTGTTAAACTGTGTTCGTGCCGCCACCATGTATGAAAATGTTAGCATGTACAATAATGTAGCTTACCTGCTTGTATTTTATATTTCACAAGATCAAACACATGGGATAGACTAACACTTTACCACACAAAACTGTATTAATAAGCTGCAGGTCCATTTCACTCCCACTCCTGACAAACCACTACAGACTCGTGTGTATCCCCATCACTACCATTGACAAGGTGGTACTAAGGAAGCAGCATTATTATAGGCTTTGACCCTTTAAAGCTCTTTTTTACTGAGTACGGATTAAGTCAAAGCTATATAGCACACACACCTATAACACAGTCACTACAGTCGATATGACAGTCACTTACATATTACTGATCCCATGTTGCTGCTGATCTTTCTGTGACACAGTGTACAGGAGGGGCTGAGCCACACCGCTAAACCAACATCCAGTCCAATGTCCACAGCAACACACACATACAAAGATCTGGTGATACTACAGTCCACTCCTCAGGGCTGTCTGGTTTTCCTCAGTAGTTCAGGACCAGTCCTTGTCATTTTGTGTGTAAGAGTAGCAAGAAACGGCAGAGAGGTATGGATATGTGTGTGCTGATGTTCGTGTTTTCGTCAAAGAGGGGGGTTGAGCCTCTCCTGGCAGCCTTGTGACCGGCTTAGCTGCTCAGTTCTTACCACAGTTTACACAAATATCCTCAACAATACTCTCATCAGGCAGCGGGGACTTCCCTTCTCCTCTGCATCCTTCCATGTTTACTCCCAGCTTTCCTTTCCCCCCGTCCTGCTTCTTTTATGCCCCCTCCTCTCAAATGATTTATAAGGCTTCTCCACATTGTTTCTTCACTAGTTATGGATGCGTGTGAGATGGCTGCCACGCCCTATCTATAGACAAAGCTTTAGACTTTGAACTGATCATGTATGTAAAACAGCACAATTAGACAGGTTTTGGTCACACTCAGAGTCAAAGATGCATATAGTTGCATCGACTACATTATTCAGAAGAGAAAAAACTGTATGATGTTGGTTATCCATCAATAAGTGTTTTCCCTCCACCTCTTCTCGGATACTTTTAATTTCTTAGTTAAAAAATGTTAAGAAGATATAAAATAGTAAGATGGCGAATATTTACATGCACATATGTTGGGTTGTGTCCAAAAAGTGGGTCAAGGCTGTGGCGCGTGTGTCCAAATAGTCTAATAAGTGTGTTACAGAATGTATGTGATATATAATAAATATTCCTTGCAGACAATAGTTTTGGCAGTTTATCAGACTTTTTCTTTTAGGTTAAATGTTGATATTTTCTGACTGTTAAAACTTTTCATTCCATATAAAAATACATGAAAATATAATATTTAAGGTGACTGAGGAGGATGCATTACTGCAATTTGGCGTGACACATTACTTGTATTTGAGGTTTTATCGTACTAAATTGTACCTGTTTAATTCCTTTCCGTTAATTCTCTTTTCACACATGAAGATGAGAAAAACCACTGAGTGCTAATCAGCTGCGACCAAGACAACTACAGTCATCAGCAACAGCCAATATCTGTCAGTGACCTCAGCCTCTCAGAAATGTTTGTCCTTTCCACACGACTACAGGACTCTTCATTAAAGGACACGCAACAAAAAAGTTCTGGGGTATTGTAAATCAGTTGTCTTGGTTCTTTTTGTGTTGTGTGACTGGACAGTTTGTGGAGGAGAAATATTTTTTTACTAAAATGTAACCAAGTTTCTTACTTACTGTGTTATTTAACATCTAGTTCACATAAGTTACTCTTAAAATGACTTTTCTCAGAAACCTCTGGTGTTACAGTCTAGCCTTGTACAGTATTTCCATTCAGACAGTTCACGCATCAGCCTGAATCTTTCTCCACTCGTGTTTGAAAGTGTTAGCTAGGGTTACATGAGCTGCATGTATATCAGTTAGAGCAGCCTGTAGGAATTGCATTTTTCAAAACTATTTCAACAAAAAGAATAGAGCTTTTATTCTGTTGGTCCATTAAAAAAAAAGTCCATTTTTGGTCAACTACTGTTCTAACCGCTGACATCATGGATTATGTCACTGCAGGCCTTGGCTAGCTCACTGACAATGACCTTCTCCTACTGGAACCAGAAAATCACCATAGACTTGAAATGACGCAAGCAAACTATCTTAAAGTGACAGTCCAGGATGCACAAGACGGACATTTCCACACATTACTGAGTACTGACGTTTCAGACCAGGCACTAGAGCAATCTGAATAATTGATGAACATGGCATTCCCACCAGTCCCAGATCGAAAAGGAACAGATGTTGTTTTCTGTTCTCTTTAGCACTTTATTGTTAGCATAAAAAACAAGCTTTCACTCGGTGTGTTTACCAGTTAAGTTATTGGTGAAATCATTTCAGAACTTTCAAGGAAAGCAAAACAGTTAGCGTTCCTGATAAACTGCAAAAAACTAAAAGTGAAA